CCACTGTAAAAGAAGATTGTGAGCGCACTCCAATCGTTTTCGTGGAAGTAAGTTGGAGCAGATCTCTACTTGGTACTTACATTATCCAAGCTGATATGGGTTAAAATAACATAAAGTTTGACTTTTCGTTCAACTCTCCCTCTCTGTTGATCAAAGTTTTAGGCTAGTGTCATGCACCTCATATCTGGTGCTAGGGTTTAATTATTAAAATGTAGTTACTTTGGAGTACCGTTAAGCTTAGACCAATCGTTTTACTTAAGATAGGAGTTTCTTGAAATCTTCTCCTCAGCTTTAGAAGATAATGTTGCATTTTCTTGCTCACTTATATAGTAAAGATGGGAAGTTCATATAACTTATCGAATTATTAAAAAACATATTATGCGAAATAATGGAAGTAGACCAAACTGATAGGTTTCTTTTTTGAATTTGTCCAAAAATTATAGTCTAATTCAGGATTTGCTAGAACTGAAAGAGAGATTTGACGAGTTTCTTATGATGTCCTTCCAACGCGATAAGATGTTTAAGAATAGGATTCAAACAGACTTTGAGTCCTTCATTAATCTCAACAGGAATAGCCCGGAGTACTTGTCACTGTATATGGACGATAAACTACGAAAAGGGCTAAAATCAGTGAGTTAGTTTACCTTTCATTATTTCGCCTCGTATTGGCTTTGCCGCATTGCTTCAAAGGTTTATGACGTTGTGAACCGTAGCTCCGGTTGACAACCACAGGGCGTAGATGCGCCTAATTTTTAGCGTATGACATATTTAACTTAACAACGTCTTCATCAATAAACACGTGTCCTATCATTAGCAAACATTCTTCAAAGCTATAATTGAAACATTGGAAAATTTTTTCGAATGAATGGATACTGAATAGTGATAGAAATATTCCAACCAGTGAACATTATTCAAATCGCCATTCAAAATATATTTGATTTCGAATATACGAATAGCGGAAGACCTGTGTGTTCGACTACAACTAGCGAATAATTAAGCATGACCGAATATTCGATCATTCGAAACAGGATGGGTTCGTCTTTTCGAATACTTGACTATTCGAATGGCAAGTAGTCGAATCATTTAATCTCCACTCCAAGCATAGATGCTCGAACTCAATCATTTTCGATGATTTCGCGCATATTCGATCGAACAATTTTGAAGATTTTGCAGATATCTGAACGGTCGAATATTATTCGAATATCAGTTCCAAAACTATTGGAACTCGAATATTCGTATGTCGCTGTTTCACAATATTCGACTATTCGAATAGTTGAATAAACGCACTTTTTCCAATATTCGACTGTTGAAAAAATCGAATAATGCTCCTTTTCGAGTATTTGGATATCGAATTCTCGATTTGTCCAAAGCACGAGTATTCGGTACAATTATATTCAGAACTTCTAAAAGAAGCTCAAATTAAGCTATAAACATCGAATCAAAAAGGATTATGTCAAACTTTTCAAGATTAGCTTTTTGTTATAGGTATATCAACTATTTTCCACAAAGCTAGTAATTTAGAGGATATATAAGCTCGAGCAAAGTCAGAAATACCAGTAGTCTTGAATATAAAATGATAATATGATTATTTTCCTTCGTTTTCAATAAAGTTTGTATTTTTTCCAACTTTCCTTATCTTTTAGGTTTCATAAACGTAGAGAGAGCTCAGTAGTGTACCTTGAGTCTCTGAGCTTGCGTTTATGAGCCGGGCACTGAGTCCGACCAAAGTGGCCGCTGGCAATAGCTATTGAAATGTCCACCACCTCTTTGAAAAACTTTTCTAGACGAAAAGTGCAAAAGAATTGGTGTTAATTAATGCTTAGAATTTCCACTCCTCAATGTTTGAGATCAGAATTCTAGAGATTGATGCTATTTATTCTGTGATTGGGCTGTACAGGCTG